TTTTTTTTTTTTTTTTATTTTTGATAACTTAGTATTAATCAATGTTTCTAATCCAGATGGGTTCTGTAGTTTATATAAAACGTCGGAGCACGTATCCCATCCAACAGAAGTTCATTACTTGACAAAGAAAACCAACAGATGCGGTTGGTTCTTGATATGTCATTCATCGCTTCTCTTTGTCAAGTTGCCACAAATTGTAAACTTTTTTTTGAACGTTTGTATAAAAATCTGTCATGCATGTTAGTAATTAAACCTTCAGAAAACAAGTTGATTTCTTTTCCCGCTTCTATTTACATCAACACGCCGTTAGTTTCGGCAAATTACCGTCAATCAATCATTATAGTTCTGATGTTTGCTGGGTGTTATAATTAGAGCTACATTTTTCTCAACTTCTAATCACACGTTTGGGACTAGATTTCGCTGAAAATATTGACTTCCAAAAATTAATGACTAACTTACGAGTTGTTATTAAGTTTGAAATATTAGTTGAGGGGTTTATGTACCACCGAATTCCTTAAAAATCAGTATTTAAATATTCTAATCTATATATACGCCGTGAACAGATTGGTTAAAACAAAGCATGTTTAACAAAACTATGAATTTAGTTAAGTCACAATAATGAACGCTTTATGAAGGCTGTTTTATACAGAACTCTGTGTGAGCGCTTTGTGAAGCCTGTTTTATACAGCACTCTGTGTACACGCTTTGTGAAACATGTTTTATAGATCGCTTTGTGCGCACGATTTGTGAAGCCTGTTTTATACAGCACTCTGTGTACTCTCTTTGTGACGCCTGCTTTATACAGCATTATGTGAACACGCTTTGTGAAACCTGTTTTATACAGCACTTTTTTCTGTGATAAACCGTTCGTAAATTAAAAACCTTAAAGAATTACAAGTAATTTTACTAAAATACGGTTGATAAGTTGGTATAGAACAGTAGATAGTAGTTAGGTCTCTTGTTTGACGTTAGAAGAAGAAAAAATGATGTCTTCATTAACCAAAATACTATTTTTTATAGTAGGGTAACATTTGAAAAGATCTACACACGTTCTTATGTATGATTATGTAGACAGACGGACATTAATATATTGGAAATAGCTATGAACGTTATCCGAACTATTAATGATTCCGCTTTATTTCCTACTTTCATTTTTCGTCTTATGAAATTTGAAATACAATTGTAGTCGCCAAAAAAGTACACAATTAATGTTTTTTGTGCAAGATTTCCGTTGCACATGTTTCTTCTTGCTGTTTTTTTTTTGCACACTTTTTTGTGTTCTTTCATCATGTGCTTGTGTTTATTGTTTGTTTATTGAATTTCGCACAAAGCTACTCGAGGGCTATCTGCTCTAGCCGTTCGTAATTTAACAGTAATAGACGATAAAGAAAGCAGCTAATCAAGGCCACCCACCATCAACTTTTGGGCTACTCTTTACCAACAAATAATTGGATTGACCGTTACATTATAGCGCCCTACGACTGAAAGGGCGAGTAATTTTGACGACGGGGTTAGAACCTGAGACCCGCAGATTGCGAATCAAGGTTGTGTTCATTGAACATAATTAACGCGACAAAAGAAAATATTTCATGCCATTAACACCTTTCTTCATCTGAAATATAACACAACATAACTTAATGTTTTGGGACAACATGGGATTTATTGGTCCATTTCGGCTGTCCCATCCTCTAAACTAAACTATTAATAAATAAATTTTTAAAAAATCCTAAAGCCAGCCCTCATCATTCATATCCTTATCAAGCTTTCTCTTAAACTCACTTAAATATATTGCTTCTACGACATCTGAAAACCCAACCACCCTGTTAGAAAAATAAAACTGTCTTAGCTGAATATGACTCCTACCTTGTCAAAATTTATATTTGTGTCTTCAGTATTTTCAGTACTTGTTTTTTTATTCCAACATTATCATTTCA